TGTAATATGCTTTCTATATCCTTTTAAATTCTGTAAAATCTGTGGTAATGTCTCCTAGATCTTAATATTGTAATTTTAAAAATGTATAATTGATATTGTGTAACAGGAAAAAAAAGGTCTAAAAGAGCAGGGGAAGTGGGAGTGGTAAGGGAAGGGGAAAAAGGGAAAGGAAAAATATGAGAAGAGGAAAAAAATGGAAACAAGGTTTTTGCAAATAGGGAAGGGTGGAGGGGGTGAAGGGAGGGCAAGGGAAGGGGGAAAAAATAATAACCAAGATACTCATGTAATGGTACAAGATTCCAATGATGAATATAACTGTATTTTATACCTAAAATGTACCAATAAAGTTAATGGGAAAAAAAATAAAGAAATACAAATGTTCTCAGTTTGAGGAAATGATGTGCCTCTCTCTGTTGGAGGGTTGCACTCTTTTTCTTTGAGTGTACACTTGTAAATTTCTGCATAATAAATTCCTTTATGCCTCTTTAAACAATAAGAAACTTCTATTTAATTTTTTTTCAAATATTTCTTGCCCATTTGAGTGCTTCGCTAGATGTCTTTAATGAATTTTAGACATTTCTCAGATATTCTAAGTATTGCCTCTGCACCATCTGATACTATTCACTTGAACTTTCAACAGTTGCAAACATGCAATCAAGATACACTGAAAACTCTTCTTGTGTGATAGGTGTTCGAATTCCAGGTGACTCCTAAGGACATGAAAGCCATAGAGAGCTTGAACAGAAACTTGTCATATCTTCCTGTTGAGTTGTAAGTAATTTTGAAGCATATCTTGCCTCATTTTATTTTAGTTTTAAGTTTCACCCATCTTTATCAGTGTGTGTTTGCTCAGAACACTGTGTTTATCACTCAGAAAGCTGCCCTTGTGGTGGTCAATGGAATATTTGGTTTCCAGTGTCTGAGATACACAATGCAGGGTATAAGGAGATGTTAGAAGAGAAATTAAAAACCAACGTAGTATGTTTCTGAAGAGCTGCACTGCTGAAAAAAATTTACAATCATCAAAATAGCTTTACTATTCCTTCATGCTCTATGGCTATACTGATATTGGATATACATTATAAATGAGGGGAAACAAGGAATATATATCCCCTCAACCTGCAAGAATTTTAACTCCTAATAGAAACACATTATAATGTTTGAAAGAGGATTAGACAATTGACAATTGTATGTTCTCAACAATCAGCAGATACATTGTTATCATTGTTAATACTCCTAATAGTATAAAGAACAATGAAGGATAAGGTGGGAACATGTATTAAAGTGACATAGAGTGGTAATCAATCAAACAATGATTTCTATAACTTTATATCTTGTGTTGTTTTTAGTGTAGAAATCTACAAATTGTATGGTAAGATCCCTGAAGGTGAAAGTCTGTATCATAAATGACCTTCTTTACATTACTGAATCTAACCAAATATGGTAATTGTGATGTGTCATAGGTAAATAAAAAATGAATAAGAAAAAGAGAAGTGAAAATGCTAACAGTAAATTGTACACCCTAAAATATTTGTTGATCATTATTTGGACTTGTAAGCATTACATATTCATTTTCTGTTTTCAGTGAGAATTCAAAATCAGAAAGAATTTCTTTGCTTTTGCTGCTTTGAATAATATAGAGGAATATAATAAATATTTGACTCTGTGTGTTCTTTTTGTTCAGCTATAGTCAGAAAATAAAATTTGAAAAATTTTGTTAGGATTTAAAATTTTTTCTATTAAAGTATGTTCACAAAAAACAAATGGTAGATTTTAAAGCAGTCACAAAAAATGGTTAACTTCCACAGTTTTAGAATATGCACAGATATTACTACTTTACCATCATAGAAGTGGTAGAAGTGGACTCATAAAGAGCATATTACACGTTTTTTCTAATTATAGCATTGAGGACCACCCTAATTATCCATTTGCTGATGAATATCAATGCGGAGGCCATTGTTACGACTCCTGTCAGAAATTTATGTGGAAAATGATGGGGAAACATCTCTGGTGCTGCTGTTTTACACATCATCCTGCTCAAACCATGCTGATTAGCAGCACTCACAGCTTGAGTTAAGTCCACTCCAGAAGAGAAGGCACTAAATTAACATCAGTTTTAAAGATATATATAACATTGCTTTTTCTAAAGAGTCTTGCTTTGTGCTGTTTCTGTTACCTGCACAGTGTGTTTACTTCAGGCTCACTACAGCTGGAAACAGACTTGGCTGGAAGTCTGTGAGGAATGGTGGGAGAGGATGAGAGCTATTTCATAGGGTGGCAATGGGTACCAATGGCAGCCTCTAGGGAAGTGGTAATGGGCAGGTATTCATCAGTCTCTGTGACTGTAGCCCAGGACTAATGAGAAAACACACTGCATTCAGTTCATCATCCTTAGTCTGGAAACTGAAGCACACATGAGAAGGCTGGCCATGAGTCCAGGGCTGGCCTCTTGCAGCTCAACTCTCAGCTCTCACCAGCTGGACTACATGCAGCTGGTCATGAGGCCTCACAAGACTGAAACTTTTAACATTGTTATGTGATTATTATGTGATTCTTAGGGATATTTTTGATGACTGAATTTCACAGTGCTCAAACAAGGTAGGTGACAACAGATGGCAATGTAGGGCAGGGCACAGAGTACTGATAAGTCCACGTCCTGAACTCACCTCACAGTCAGTCAAATTGAAAAAATGTACATTAAAAAACCACATTTTCTTTATCCAGATTCCAGTTGATGGGCACTGGGGCTGTTTCCAAGCTTTAGCTATTACAAACTGTGCCGCTCTGAACATGGGGACACACGTTTCACTGTGGTATGATTCTTTTAATTCTTTGGGGAAGATCCCCAGCAGGGGAATAGCTGGGTCAGATGGGACCTCTTTGAGGTATTTATATATTGATTTTCACAGTTGTTGCTAATGTGAAATAGGGAAAAGAGGTCCAAAGAGGAAGGAGAAGGGGGAGTGGGAGGGGTAGGGGAAAGGAAAGAAGAGAAAGGAATAAATATGAGAAAACAAAAACAATGGAAACAAAGTCTTTGTAAATAGGGAGGGTGGAGGAGTTGAAGGGAGGGCAGGGGAATGGGGAAAAAAATAAGAACCAAGATGCATCATGTACAAATTCTCAATGATGAATGTCATCCTATGGTATACTGAAAATGTACCAATAAACTTCATGAAAAAAAAGAAAAATGTACGTCAGATATTACAAGTACATACAGTTTGGACTTATTGAATAAAAGGTAGCGGTTACCAACAATAGTGTCTCAACTTTCCTGTGAGTGCATGAGAAGATAGGAATTTGTTTTTTATGCAGACACATACATTTTCTTATTTCACTACCGAACTTGGGTTTGTCATTCTGTAAACACGACTCAACCCTAAAATCACACACAACTGTTTAATCCACAATACCAGCATGGCAGTTTTCTGAGTAATCGGTTTCAAAGGTAAATGCCTTCTGTGGTGCTCCACACGGCAACCTAGTTTCCTACTACTAGAAAGCTCAGTATGTTTCTGTCTGTTCCCTGGGTCAAACTGATTCACCAGGTAACTACAGTACTCAACAAGCATGAGACAGGAAAATGCAGGGTCTCCTAACCAGTGAGCTGAGACAACCGTATCCCCAGGTAGTGTGTGTTGTCAGCCACATGTAAGAAAGTACCAGAAGTGGACTGGTTTGTGAGCTTAGTGACAACTGTTAGCAGTGTTTCCTCTCTGCTTCAGGGCCCTCTGAAGGTGAGGGTCCAAAGAGTGGCTTCCAAGATGGTGTCAGTAGCTGAGGTTCCATCCTCAATTCATACAGAAATCATCAGCTGACAAAGAACAGCTCTTTTTGTGTTTACAGGGCTGGATTTTGCTTGCCAGCAGCTACCATCTCTTACTGGTAAGAATGAAGAACTCTAGGCTGGAGATGACAGCTGCCAGAAATTAATTGTCCTTTGCACTGAATCATTCTCTGCTGCTGCCCTTCTTCACTGTTAGTAGGTGCATCTCCTGGCTGCATTCCTACCAGCAGCCTTTAGTCCTGCTAGATCCACATACTGAAGCAGGAAGCTATGTCTCCTCTCTCACCACAAGGGTCCTTTTGGGGGGCAGTGACATTTAGAGTTACCAGCTCTTGATGTGCTTTTACCACATGCACTGAGCTCATGGTCTCACAAACATTGAGGAATGAAGTCACAAAGCAAAAGAGGAGGTTAGGGGAGTTTTATTAAAACTAGTAAGAAGAGGGCTGGGGATTTAGCTCAGTGGTTCCACCACCTGCCTTGCAAGCACAAGGTGCTGAGTTCAATCCCCTGTACCAAAATAATAATAATAATAATAATAATAATAATAATAAGAAGAAGAAGAAGAAGAAGAAGAAGAAGAAGAAGAAGAAGAAGAAGAAGAAGAAGAGGAAGAAGAAAAATAGCTCC